TAGGGACGCTGGTTTTTCTGGGCACTGGGCGGCAGAGCGGAGTGAGGGGGGAGTCGTGGGAGCGGCTGTGAGACTCAGGGAACACTGTGATGGTGAATCTCTCTCCAGGGACGAGGGGAAGGATCTCGGGGGCCGTGGTGTGTGGGGGGTTGCAGGTGGGGCCTGGGGCTAGATACACTGTAGGGCCTGACAGGACATACTGATGCAGGGAGTTCCAGAGGATGGAAGAGGCTCTGGGGAAGTCCTGGAGGCAAGCGTGGGAGGAGGTAACAAGGGGGCTAGAGAGCAGGAGGTCTTTGGAGGAGCGGAGAGGATGGTTTGGGTGATACAGTATCTGCAAATGAGGCATATATGCATTACTCGTCCAGCAAGAGGTTAAAAGCAGGATCACCAAGTGAAAATAAAGGAAACGGCTGAATAAAAACACTAAAGCAGCCGCCACATCTAAGGAGCTGCAATATACATTCTTTGGACTGAGTGGAGGTATTGGGAGGAGAGGGCTCTGGTCACAGACGGGTATTAGTGATCGAATCTTCTGGTCTCTGTATAATGACATTCCCTATCATGTGCTGTACACAGCACATAGGGGAGAGCCTCATGCAGGGCACACGGGGGGGAGAGAACCACGGGGGAGTACCCCTTAGAGGAGAGCCCCATGCAGGGCACACGGGGGAGAACCATAGAGGAGAGCCCCATGCAGGGCACACGGGGGAGAACCATAGAGGAGAGCCCCATGCAGGGCACACGGGGGAGAACCATAGGGAGGAGAGCCCCATGCAGGGCACACGGGGGAGTACCCCTTAGAGGAGAGCCCCATGCAGGGCACACGGGGGAGTACCCCTTAGAGGAGAGCCCCATGCAGGGCACACGGGGGGGGGAGAACCTCATAGAGGGGAGAGCCCCCATGCAGGGCACACGGGGGGGGGGGGGGAGAACCATAGAGGAGAGCCCCATGCAGGCTCCACACTGCCTGTCCAGTCATTGGATTGGTTGCAGTCAATAGATCTCGCGGTCTCCTCCATGCACAGCTCGTGCTCAGAGACAGATGATTGACAGGGAACGTTGTGCTGACCAATGGGCGGTGACGGGGCGGGGCTCCAGCAGACAGCAGGAATTGGGTGTCTTGCTGTTTCTGTAGAAGGGGATTGCAGTGTGGAAGCTCTCGTCGGTTCCAGCCTGGGTCGGTGTCATTGTGTGAACTTCCTGGACAGCCAGAAACAGCCAAACCTTCCCATCCACACTTCTCCGACCCCAGCAAGGTGCCCAAAGGGTGTGAGGTCTGTGCAAGGTGAGCCGGCTTCATTATGTCATCTTGTGTGTCTGCTCTGTGCGATTCTGGGTGTCATTGTTATTGTATGAAATGTGTGTCTGGACTTCTTCCATATATCCTCTCTTCACAGCTGTCTACACCTAGATCACACTGCCTGGTCCTGCTGTGCACTGTAGATCCATGCTGCTCTGCAAAGGCATTCATTGTGCTCCTTGTATTTATCAATACATTGATTCTGTCTATTAAACGATTGTCCTGATTAGATCGATTTACTATTAATTGTACACACGACATGCAGCAAGTCTTCATGTACTATTGTTTACATGCAGCATGCATGTGGAAGAAACACACTGAACAATTTAAAAGGCAGCCATATGTAATGTTTTTCTCTGATGTGGTCCTGGCCTATAGCAAGAGTGTCCTGATGTATATACAGATCTCTCCAGTCATTTAATGCCTTTTATGGTTACATAAGAGAGACTGAGATCATTTATTTAAATATTCCTAAACATTTTCTTTGTAAAGATTAAAAAGATCATTGAAAAAAGATTCATCTGAGATACTGCATTCATAAGCTTTTTATTTGTAAAGTGTATAGATCTTCATCTGAGATACTGTGTTTAATTTAGTAATACAGACCAGGGGTCTCCAAACTTTTCATTCAAAGGGCCAGTTTACTGTACATCAGACTTTAAGGGGGCCAGATTGTGTGGTCAGTGGAGGTAGAAAATGTCTCCATGAGAATAAATATGGCTTCAGGGTTGGTGGTCAGTAAGAGTATTGCCCCATCATTGCTATTAGTTGAAGGAATAGTAACCCATCGTTGGTATCAGTGGAAGAAATAGTGCACCATTGTTGGTGTCAGTGGGAGGAATAGTGCCTTGCATCATTCAGAGGAATAGTGGCCCATGGGCCAGTTAAAGGCTGGCAAAGGGCCACAGTTTTTAGAGATCTCTGATATAGATCATCAGCAGAGATACTGAGTTAATTTATTAAATTCTAAACATTTTCTTTGTAAAGATTAAATAGATCATAATCTGAGATTCTGCGTTCATTTATTAATCATAAGAATTTTATTTGTAAAGTTTAAATAGTTCATCACCTGAAAGACTGAGTTCATTTATTAAATCCATTGTTAGTATTTTATTTATAAAGTTTAAATAGATCATCATCTGAGATACTGAGTTTATTTCCTAAATAAAGATTTTATTTAGAAAGATTAAATAGATCATCCTTTGAGATACTGCGTTCATTTATTAATCACAAGCATTTTATTTGTAAAGTTTAAATAGATCATCTTCTGAAAGACTGAGTTCATTTATTAAATCAATTCTAAATATTTAATTTCTAAAATTTTAAAAGATCATCTGAGATACTGAGTTCATTTATTTAATAAATTCTGAACATTTTCTTTGTAACGATTAAATAGATCATCATCTGAGATACTGAGTTCATTTATTAATCATAAGCATTTTATTTGTAAAGTTTAAATTGATCATCATCTGAAAGATTGAGTTAATTTAATAAATAAATTATAAACGCTTTATTTGTTAAATTTGAATAGATCATTATCTGAGATATTGGGTTAATTTTTAAAATAATCCTAAACGTTTTATTAGTAAAGTTTAATTGGAAAATTATCTCAGAGACCAAGAACATTTATTCAATAATCCTAAACATTTTATTTATAAAGTTTAATTGGATCACCATCCAAATTATTTTTACAAGCTTGTTCTTTGAAATTGGGATTTTACAAAATATTTGAATGTTTATTATGTGTTTGAAAACCCAGCATATTGGCTTGGTACAGCATTCTGGGATTTCATTTTGTTTTCCCTGCATGCTGGTGGCTGAAGTGGTCTAAAGTGATGGATTGGGCACAATGCAGAGCAAAACAGCCATCAGCATTATCCTAGAGTGTAAGCTCCCAAGATCAGGGCCCTCCTAACCCTCTTGTATTGAACTGTATTGTTGCTGTATTGTCTCCCGTTATATTGTAAAGTGCTGAGAAAACTGTTGGCGCTATATAAATCCTGTATAATATAATAATTATAGGTGGGTAACTGCACTGGTGGAACATCCAGAGCATGTATATTATTTTTTAAATAATATACAGACTTTTAGGATATTAGAGATCCTATTGAGATCTCACTTGCTTTTTTAATGTAATTGCTCAATCATTTTTTTATTACAGCAAAACCTATTTAAAAATATTTATGTAGTTACTCATGAAGTGCTATATTCTCATGTGTTTTTTTTTTTTTAATTGTTTAAATTATTATTTTGAATTTTCAAGGTCCTGGCCATTGAGATCCCATTCTTTTTATTGCATTTTCACAGACATTTTTTATTGCAGTAATATCTATGTTTAAAAATATTTTTGAATGGTATTCATGAAGTACTATTTCCTATATGAAATAGCACTGGCTTGAATATAACGATTAATCTCCAGTAACTGGAAATTGTTCCATTACATGTGGAAGTGAAGAATTGTGGCAGAATTCCCAATTTCTGTGTGACATTAAAGGCAGACTCCACCTTAAAAAAAAAAAAAATATATGCACCCACTTTGATAAATGAAAAAATGTGCATTTATTAATGTTGTGCATTTGAGTCTGCAGAGCATTGTAGATGTGGCCCTCTGCTTACCTTTATCTGTCTCTTGGGGCACTACTACAGCCACTGGTACGCTGCACTGTTTCTCCCATTGACACAAATGATGGGACACGATTCCTTCACCGACACCAGAGATGGGGAACGAATTCTCCCACTGTCACCAATAATGGAGCCCTATTCCTCCCACTGACACCAGTGATGTAATTGGCCCTTTTGGCATTGTTTACTCACACCAATTCTAGGGCATGTTCTACTCGCACTGGCCACAGTCCGGCCCCCATAAAGTTTGAAGGGTAGTAAACTGGCCCTTTGTTTCGAAAGTTTGGAGACCCCTGAGCTAGAGGAAGTAAACAGTGGACCGCAAGTGCAGTGACATTACCACACTTGTGCACTATTGAAATCTGTGGGGTAGATTTACTAAAACTTGGTGCAACTTTGGTGCGGCTGTGCATGGTAGCCAGTAAGCTTCTAACTTCAGCTTGTTCAATTAAGTGTTGGCAATAAAACCTGGAAGCTGATTGGTTTGCCTGCAGAGTTGCACCCAGTTTTTCACTCTCCAGTTTTAGTAAATAACCCCCTGTGAGCCATTTGCTGCAGTGGTAGATGGGACTTGTAGTCTTTCCATTTACAGATCCCTGTGAATGGATGACATTGCTGTGTGGGCTGAACCAAATGTATTAAAAAACAGGCGGCAGCAGGGAGAGGCACCTAGCGATTTAGGTAAGTGAGGGGGTATGAGGTTGGGTGGGATTACGGAATACAATCATATATCATGTTACACACTAAAAACAAGTGAAACATGAAACATAGTGGGAAAAGTGGACTAAGCCTTTAACCGATTTCCCGCCGCCCTATAGCTACAATACTGCTACAGGGCGCGTCATATATATACATGATTTTGCATTTACTGCACTGCCATTGGCGGCTTCAGCTGTTGATCACCGGGTCCCGGCCAATGATTCCCCGCCAGCACCCGGCAATCGCCGAGTATCACTGACGGGAGAGGTTTATATGTAAATAATACAGATCTCTCCCCTATCAGCTCCTGTACACTGCTTTGTATGGCTCTGCATAGCAGAGCCACACAGAGAAATGTGCTTACACAGTGAAACACACACAGTTAAGCCTTTGATCAACCCAGATGTTAACCCCTTCCTGCCCAGTGTTATTAGTACAGTGTCAGTGCTTTTTGTTAGCACTGATCACTGTATTAGTGTCACTGGGGATGTCATTGACAGTTATTCAGTTCCCCCCAGTGTCAGAATGCCCGCCGTAGTCCTGCTATAAGTCGCTGCTTGCCGCCATTGCTAGTATTAAAAAAATTTCCAGTATATATGCCGCCATTTTTAAATGCTATAACTTTCACATAAACCAATTAATTTACATGTATTGGGATTTTTTGTTTTAGCAGAGATATGTAGCAGAATACATTTTGGCCTAAATGTATGATGAAATTTGATTTTTTTAAAAAATTTTTTTTACTGGACATGTTTAATAGCAAAAAGTCAAAAATATTGTTTTTTTCTTAAAATTGTCAGTCAAAGGTGATCAAATACCACCAAAAGAAAGCTCCATTTGTGGGGAAAAAAGGGACATACGTTTCATTTTGGTACAGTGTTGCATGACCGCGCAAATATCAGTTAAAGTAATGCAGTGCCGTATCGCAAAAAATAACCTGGTCAGGAAGGGGGGTAAATCCTCTGGAGGGCAAGTGGTTAAAGACTCGTTTTTGCCTGGGCACTTTGTTTTGTCAACCTATGTTGCATCTACCTATTGATTTTCTATTGGTCCCCAGTAAGCACACTGCAACATCATGTATGTAAATTCTTGTATTTGTGTGTGAAAGGGTCTGGTGCATTGTTTACTGTGCTAATGTGCATTAGGATACATGGAACTAATGTGTGAACATCAGCTAATCCTGGCAGAAATGAAAGGATGGGCTGTATAGCACATGTGTGTATTCATGCATACATGTACACACATGTAGAAAATCCTGTGTCTGTGTGCAGGAGGCCTTGGCGTATGGTCTGAGGGCTATACCGACAACTGTGAAAGCAAAGAAGTTGTCACAAAGTATACATGCAGAGCATCCAATTAAAAGGTGACGTTGCTCCTGTTTGGTGACCCAATTAATTGTTTACTGGTTCTAATCAAACTTTTACCTGTGGATGTGATGGGCTCAAGTGTCGCTTGCAAAAAACTGAATTTGACAGAATAATATATAAGTGATCGCACATGTTTAATAGCAGTACTAATTAGCAACTTTTATTGTGCAAATGTTCAGCACTGACCTGGTTGTAAACCTCAGACATGAAATATGAGCAAATCATATCCCTCTAATAGTGTGCACTTGTCTCAACTAAGAGCACTAAGTGTAATTTCTGTCAGCTGCCTGGTTCCTCTGCAATCAGTATGAATCACTTATGAAAAGTTTTCCTGAAAAAATAGTGACAAGGCAGGGACCTCCAGCACACAGCCTGTGGTTGACGGCCTCAGCTTTGTTTCTCTGTTCGGTATTAAGGGGGCTGTGTCCCTTCCCTCCAATCAGCTGTCAGTGCTCTCCTCACTGAGCTGTGCAGTGTGTCATTTCTGCTTTCCACCCCTTTTTTGAACTCTCATACAAGCTTTATAAATTCAGCACTTTGAAGGGATGAAGAGGAGACTGCTAGTAGACAGGTACAACTTATTTAGAAGGATTTTTGACATCTCTGTGTATCATCTGAGGCCAGTCACTTTACTGCACGGGTGTCAAACCGGCGGCCTTCCAGCTGTTGCCAAACTACAAGTCCCATGAGGCATTGCAAGATTGAAAGATAAAAGCATGACTCCCAAAGGCAGAGGCATGATGGGCCACCAGTTTAACACCCCTGCTTTACTGGGTATATGTAAGGGTTTACAACCACTTTAAGGAAAATTCTTGTTACTGGAACATACCATTCTTGAAAATGTGTGATCTCATGTGCATTTTTGTACTATAAAAATACTTAAACCACCTACAAATAATTGAGCTGCCCTGGCGGCATAAACTGTGGCTCGCAGAGCTGCACATATGTGAACCTAGGGTTCAAGCATGCTCCTCATTGTGAATTTGGCATGGATGTGCGGATGGAGCCATGCACAAGTGCGGCAAAATCAAAGGAAAACAGAATGCTGCAGGGAGTGCAGTTAAGATAGGTGGAAGGAAAGGGGGTGGGAGGAAGGGTGCGGTCATCCATTCACAGATCCATTAACAGGGATTTGGGAATGGAAGTCCCATCTGCCACTGGCAGAGGGATTCACAGATCTCAGAGTACAAGCGTGGTGACGTCACCACACTTGTACTCCTTTATTTACTTCTTCCAACTGTGTACCGAATGCCTGTACCCCCCATACCGGGGACTAGGGAAAGAGTTTGCAAAGAGCCTGTGCATTGCACCCACAACACACTGAATACAGCTGCAATGATGTGCAGCCAATGCAAAAATGTAGTATGTGCATTTTTATATTTAATGAATGTGGGTGCATTTATTACATTTTTGCAAAAGGTGGAATGTGCCTTTAAATTGCATGTGTTTTACACGGAAAATACAAATAATATGGTTTTGTGGGGTCATATTTGTATGATATACACCACAAATGATCTTGCACATCCTAAATTTGCATCCAATGCATTTCTTGGAACAAAGTCCACTTTTTCAAGGATGCATCTGGATTAAAGTGATAAGAATAATCTTGTGACAAAACAGACTTATCATGTAAGTATACATATTTTGTTTAATCATTATCTGGTGTGTAATCAAAATACAGACCTTGTGGAAATGGATCATGATGAATTAACAGGAGCCTATAGCCATGTGGAATATTATTTTTTTTTTTTTATCACCCTTTAGTAGGCAGCTGACATGGTGGACCACCGCAATAGAGAGACACAAGTGTAGAAAAGGACAAATTTCAAGAATGTAATGAAACCCCTCCATGTATCCAGCCCAGTGTTAAAATAAAACACCCTTGCATCCATAATGTAAGCATTAACCACTTGTTCTCCAGAGGATTTACCCCTCTTCCTGACCAGGCCATTTTTTGTGATACGGTGCTGCATTACTTTAACTGACAATTGTGCGGTCATGCAACCCTGTACATAAAGTAAATGTATATTCTTTTTTCCCACACATAGAGCTTTCTTTTGGTGGTATTTGATGACCTCTGCGTTTTTATTTTTTGCGCATTAATAAAAAAAAAAAAAAGCTGACAATTTTGAAAAAAAAAAAAAATAATATTTTTGACTTTTTGCTAAAAAAACATGTCCGATAAAAAAGTTTTAAAAATAAGATTTTGTCATAAATTTAGGCCAAAATGTTTTCTGCTGCATATCTTTGCTAAAAAAAATCCCAATACGTGTGAATGAATTGCTTTACGTGAAAGTTATAGCGTCTACAAATGGCGGTATATATACTGGATTTTTTTTTTATTTTTATATATATATATTATATATATATATATATATATGTGTATATATTAGTAATGGCGGCGATCAGCGACTTATAGCGGGACTGCAGTGGACATTTTGACACTGGGTGGGAACTGCCACTGAAATCCCAATTACACTAATACAGTGATCAGTGCTAATGAAAAGCACTGACACTGTACTAATGACATGGGCAGGAAGGGGTTAACATCTGGGGTGATCAAAGGGTTAACTGTGTGCTGTTTAACATTATGTACTGTGTGCATTTTACTATGGAGGCATGCTACTTTGTATTTCTCTACTTTGCAGAGAAAAACAAAGCAGCATGTCCTTGCTGGCAGGAGAGAGACCTGTGTGTTTACACGGCAATCGCCAGGTGCTGGCGGGGAATCTCTGGCCAGGACCCAGTGATTGACATCCCTAGCCGCGCGCGCCCCCTGCCCGGAAATGCAAATCACGCATGTATACGTGATTTTATGCAGCCCTGCTGCCCTGTAGCAGTAATTCTATAGGACAGCAGGAAAGTGGTTAAAAGAGACTTCCAGAAAGGAGGTCATCTAGCCTGGCGCCATCCACTATCCCAAGTGCGTTACATCATGCTGTGCTGCATAAAAATGCATCATATCCCCAGTCATGAGCATTATTCTATAGTGACATTATGGGTTGAATTTAGTAAAACTGGAGCACATTCTGTGTAGCTGTGCTTAGTAACAAAGTGTCAAACTTCAGTTTGCTCTATTAAACTTTGACAAAATCTAGAAGCTGATTGTTTATTATGTACAGTTGCACAAGATTTTGTGTGCTCCAGTTTTAGTAAATCTCTGCTTTTGTGTCCTGAATTAGTTGGGCTTTGCTGTCATAAGCAGTAGATACAGGGGAACATTTAGTCTCTGTTTCAGCCCCCCTGGCCCTCTGCCCAGGGAAGCCATTGAATTAAATGCATTCAGCGTTGCCATGCTGAGCCCAGTGGACATAAAAGTATACCCTTTTGGACTTGATAGTTGAGAAGGACTTAGCAGGCGTTGATAGCGCCTGCCAAGAAACTCTTTTAATATCCATATGAACTTCTCCTTGGGTAAAATGAATTCAGTATATGTGATTATTAGACAGCTGTGACTTGAATTATGCTGCTGCTGCCGTTTTTTTGTTTCATTGTCGTGACATTTCACAGACGCATTCACATGAATGGCTGATCACACAATTTGTTATCCTGAAATGAACCAGAACTATAATATATACATATGTCATATGATACTAGTTCATGAATCACTGATTTTTCTTGGCCAGCTATTTACAGCATTGGTAGGGGTAATCCCACCAACTCCAGTTTTTCATGATATGGATTCATTACTATGCCTTGCACAAAAATGTGCATGAATTGATGAGAATGGGGTAGAGTTATGATTTTTTTTTATTTTTCGTTTTGTGACCCCATTCCTATTCCTTTGAAGCCCATACAAGAATTGCTGTGTGGTGTCGCGTCCAGGACAAGAAGGCACACAGCAATAGGAACAGTGTCACATGTTCTAGTTCATCCTCTCTCTATTATTAGTGTTTCCTTGTTGGAGAAATTTCCATCACTTCCTGTCCTGACAACAAGCCGGGGGAAATTTCTCCACTAGGGACACACAGCAATAAAAAGCTGACAAGAGGCCCTAACCCTTCCCTAGCTCTATACAAAATGAAATCCAAAGTTTTGGCTGAAGTTTGGCTTTTAAAGTATAACTAAAGGCAAAACTTTTTTTTTTTAGCTTTGGATAGAGTGGTGAGGGATTAGAACACCTGTTAGGTTTGTATTTTTTCTGTGCCCTCGTTAAGGAGACTCACCCTCTCTGTTTGTCATGTTTACCATTGTCATTGAAAGAAAAAGAAAATCCCAAATTTTGGGTTGTCTCCAGAAACGTAATAGAGAAATCTTCTAATGGGGACACTGGTTTTG